CAGGAATGGGGGGCACGTTTGCAGCAGGTATGTCAGAGAGGTTTGGAGGAAGGTTGTCAAGTCCTGCCAGAGGAGTAATTGCAGGAATGACAGGAAACTGAGGAATCTGAAAAAAATATAATATCACATAAATTGCAAGTGCTTTCATTGATGGTACAAAGTAGTTTCAATTGCCATACAAGTATGTAAGAATCACCAGTGTCACGATGATAATTATGTCTGTCTGTTCATTTCCTGAGCTTTATAAACAGTAATATAAACTGATTCATATTGAAAACATTAGTTAAAAAAAATCATTTTTGGGGACATTTTCATACCTTAGAAGCTTAAAACTCTAACACTATTTAAGAGCCATCAAGCAACATGTTAACAGAAAAAAGTTGCTTGCATTTTGACAGAAAGAAATAAAAACCTAATCAGGAAAAAACAAAATTCTTTCATGCAAAATTCAACACAACAATTTAAACCCTGTCTTTAACCAGGCAGGCTGCAATCCAGGCAGCACAAGAATGTGCTGTTCTAAAGGAACTGTTTTTAAAAGCAAAACTGCCCTGTGAGACAGCAGGTCAGAACCACTCTGGTATTCTGGGACAGCTCGCTTATTCCCCTTGGCAAAAGCTGCTTCCCACCATGGGGGCTGGCAGTAGCAAACACACCAGCAGCACCAACAAACCCGTGCAGACCCGAGGGAAGGTCCAGCCCTGCTATCGAAAGCAGAAATGGGGTTGGGAGTGAGGAACGGGAAGGGTGGGTGGTGGAGAAGATGGTGAAGTTAAGACTTCAGGAACATAAAAACTGGGCAACTGCTCATGCTCTTAAGCCTGGGATGGGGAAGAGAGTACACCAAGGAGGAAGGTGTGAAAAAGTGCAGTTACTGCAATTTTGTAGCTGCCGTTACGGGATTATCTAGGCATGACACAGAATTATTCACAAAGGGTATTTTTGATTCACTGAACAAATTCAAGAAAAATACAGAAGGCATGAAAAAGCTATATTCTTTGGGACCAATTAAATCGACATGCATTTAAAACAGCCACACAAAAAATGCAAGTCATGCTCATCATTAGCTGGAAAGCTTTACATAAGCGTATTCCCACACAATTTCCAATGCTATTACCTGGGAGGGGGCAACCGGTGGAAGCGGCGGCACGGTTGAGATCTGGAGCGGTTTTAGGGGTGTACTGCTAGCTGCCACCTGAGAAGTCTGGGGCTGATACTGGGGCAATAGATGGGCTGCAGGTGGGATTGGGCACACGGGCTGGCTCGCAAGCACCTGCTGCAGGGAGGCCTGCTGTGACATGGGCTGCTGCTGGAAAGGAAAAGAGAACGGGAAAAGGTTAAGGCACATCCACCATGCAGATCTCCCAAACCTGCACCTCGCAGCCTTCTTACTTTCCAGCTAAGGTCAGCACAGAACTGTTGCTTGGAGCAGAACTGATTTATAAGAGAAGGGTGTTGCTCATTTAAGCACTGCACAAGAGTTTATGCTTAAAGTTCATTTAAATGTAAGATATATTAGCTGAAAAGACAAATGCTAACTGTCTTGGAAAGGTTATTCATAATAACTCATCACACCCTTCATATCCAAAATTCTTCTAGCTGGCTCTGTAATATCCATATACCATTAACTTCAAAAACTCCTCCTATGCAAATGATACCCAGGCTAGTCTTGGCATTCAAAGGCTGACTGCATCACATAGCAGGCACTGAAACATTCAACACTTATTACACAGCATTCCACCTGATCTGCAGATGAAACACAGTTATTATAGGAAAAGTTCTAGCTGGATCTCAGTTCTATTTCTGAGGCTTCAACACAGCCGCTGAAAAGGCACTTTCACCATTACAAGGGAAACTGTGCTCAGCTGGCCTGCCAGGTTTTATACAACAGAAATAGAAACAACAGGAAAAAAATCTGCAAAAAAGCTGACAGTAATGAGTAATGAAAGTTTCACATCACCACGCTACTGATATATCCTTCTTTGGGACCTTTAATTATGTTTCAAAATAATGTTTCAAAAGTGCAGCGCTGAGGCATTAAACCGGCTCTGGACTGACCTACTTGAGACCACAGGATTTATTGATTAGCTCAGCTTCCGTACCACATAAAATCTAATATAATGCTCCAAGTTCAAAAGGTCTGTGGTTTTTTTTTCCCCTCTCTTTTCTTCATCTTTTCCACTTCTCAACTATCATAATATTTCACTCGGCACTTTTGCAGGAGCAGAATCCTTCAACCAGAAATTTTAGGCATTAGTGCAATAAAACTGCAGCAGATGAGCCAAGGAAGCAGGACATGCCATCCGCTCTGAAGCAGATGAAGCCCAGCCATTACAGTAACAGTTTTCAACACAAGTATCCGTGAATGAAGCAGTACTTGGCTACGAGCATCCAGTGCCTGGGGCTGACACCCTGGGTCACACGAGCAGCATGAGGAGCACTGGGGATGGCACCACCAGGGACCTCAGTGTCCCGCACGGCACCAGCGGGATCTCCTGTGGGATTCACCGGCCCAGGGAGCAATCGCACAGGGACACGGGCCGTGCTCCAAGCGCCCGGGCAGCAGCAGAGCGGCGCAGGGCACCGGTGGCTCTGCCAATGTGCGGCTCAGACGGGCGGCTGGCAGATAGCGGGGCCGCCCGCAGCACTGGGTGTACAAAAACAGCATCCAGGGAGCTCAGGAGCTTCCCAAAGTCCCATTCCAAACCCAGCTTCGGTTTTACAAAACGCCTGGGACCTGGATGCAGGAGGGGGGAAGCACCCATATCAATTATGCTAACTTAGCCTCTTTATAACCTCGAAATAATGCATGGTCCCTGGAGACATACCCAAATTGGGAGGAAAAAAAAAAATATGAGGAGATACAGTATGTGATCCGCCAACATATAACGATAAAAGATTGTTGTATTTCATTGTTTTACAGACAATTTCTCACCCTGATTTCACATCTTTTTCTTTACATTCCTGCCATTTGTTTGCAAAGGACCAAAGCTTTTCACTGCCTGCAGTGTCCTCCCTGTTGTGTAGTGATACAACACTATAAAAAAAAGTCTTCTAGCTTGCTAGCAATTAAAATCCCAATTTAATAAGCTAAACTACCACTGAACTAAATTTCACACTAGTACTGTACGACCAACTTAAGTGTTTTTACACTGAAAACTATAGTATAATAATAATAATAAAACCCTGTAAACTAGATGTGCTTTCTTCACACTTCACTACATTTTGAACTGACCAGAGAAATTTAATAATAAAACTAAGAAAGTCTAGTTTTGATCTGGGATTGTATCCTGGGGTCAGATTTATCCTCGGGGTGACTCCATTTAAAAGAAAGAAGCTGCCCCGGGCATGAATTTTCTTACAGAGCTTACATCACATAATACATCTTAAATCAATGCCCAAAGGAAGTTAAAATGTACGTATAGGTAGGCAGCGAGAAAAGGAACTATATGCTTTGATTCCTTAGAAAACACAGACCTGTTATTAATCCCCATTACTTTCGGGGATGGAATTATTCTGAGAAACAGCTATGCTATGAGGAAAGTATATGGAAAAAATGTGAAAGTTAGAGAAAGATCCTTTTCCAAAACAGTTTTTACACATTGGGGGGAGAAAAAAAAGGAAAGAAAATAAAACACACAGCAGATTTTGAACTGTCAGCATAAAGCTGTGAAAGCTCCAGAGGCCACTATAGATGTCTCTGCAATGGCAGCAGTCCTAAATTTGCCTTAAAAAATGTAGCCTGTTTGGCTGAGAGAATATGTTGTGATATATCTCTGCCCATTAGAGAGAAAAAAAAATGCAAGATGAAAGTGTGTGTTTTCAAGGAGATCAAATTACATGGTTTCTCTGAAAATGCTCTCAGAAGAATATTGCATATTAAAAAAAAAATGGAGTAGTGTCATCCATGAGATAAATTTGGATAACTAGGAAGATATGGAGAGGTACGATATGCACTAGTCACAAAGTATGCAAACATTCCCTAGCTTTGTCAACATTTTTACTGAAAAAAGACAGGCTTTTGGTAGAATCACAGAAATGAGCCACAGAATAACACTCTACATGGGTATGTGGCTACTTTTCCTACAGGCTGCCCTCAGCTTCCTGCAGAGAAGCAACTGCAGCCTTAACAGCCAGCCCTGTTCAAAAGAAGCATTTTGTAAATACCTTTAAAGAACAGGTATTTTGCAGGGGGGAACAATAATCCAAAAAGCACAAAAATTACTATTCAAAGACAGTCCAGACAGATCCAGCTTCTTCTTTCACAAGTTAAACCTATTTGCTGGATATTTACATCCTACCCTATTTTGGAAAAGGTGCTTGAGCAGCATTGCAGAATATTTACAGACAACCGATATCAGGCAACAGGCTCTTCATGACCTTCTGGGAACACTTAAGAGATGGAGGTGCAGAATAATAACTAAAACTAATCAAAATGGAGCAATATTGCTCCACTGGCAAGTTAAGCCCCATACTGTTCAGACAGAATGGAAGCAAAATCTAAAAACCCATCAAGACGTTACAGGGTATCACCCAACAATGGCTGGACCAAAATTTATTGGCTCCCTTGAAAAACAAAATAAGTGAATAAAATGTCTTTATTTTTAAATAAAGAACGTGGGAAACGCGCTCCCGTGGGACGAGCCCCTCACCTGCTGGCTGGCGAGCACCGGCGGGGACTGCCCCATGGGCAGGGACGCCACCGTGGTCGGCGGCACCACCGGGAACGTCATCGCCGGCTCCTGGAACTGCGGGGCCCGCTGGGACACGGCGGGAGCGGGAGCCGGGACCACGGGCAGGCCGGGCTGCGGGGGAGAGGAGCGACCGCGCGCGCGTTAGAGACCGGCTCCGCGACCGCCGCTCCACAACACGCTCCGCGTTAGCCTGCTCAGTATCAAGCTCAAGGGGGAGGAAAAAACGGAACAAAAAGCTATCTGCAAAGAAGGGAAAGCCAATTATAATCTAAAAACATGCAGAATGAACAATCATTTCAATAGCAAATACAGCTACCAGACTGCAGTGCATTTCTTGCTGGACACAAGTCCACAAACCAGAAGAAAACACAGAAAGCACATACTTTTATAGAATATATTAACAGCAACAAGCCAATAATTGAGCAAAAACACAATTTTTAACTTGAAGAGGATTTTTATAACTTCATAAGGAATCAGGTAATTTACTTCAATTGGAGTCCATGAAAATGAATATAGAAAAAAAAAATACAGAGCAAAAGTGAAAACATAAGGAAACAAAAACACTTAAAGGATAAGGCTTGTGATGAAAGGGTCTCTTCAACTTAAGCTCAAAGTAGATAAATGGATTAAAAATAAACAACACACCAGACTGAGCTACATAAGCCTAAATTAAAAAAGCTCCAGTTGTGCGCTGCTACGCTACCCTGTAAATGATATGCCAGATATATACATTGATATATATTTTTTTTCCTGTACAACAGAAGATTTTGTATGAGATTTGCTGTGTTTGTTGGGGTTTTCAAGGCTTTGATTCACAGAAAGAAAGAAAAAAAATGTAGAAAACACACCAGAAAGTTGCGATGAATCTTCTAATTACCAAGGAAAAGTCCTCATTCCAAATCCCCAATAAAGAGGAGCGTCTCAGGCAAAGCACCCCACAGCTCAATGCCGTAAGATTCCCCAGCTAACGATGTGCCTTTCGAGTGTATTTGGAGCTCAGCTGGTGCTTCGCGTGGACGGGAGGCCAGGGAGGATGCGTCCCAGCAGAAGTGCTCACACAGCAAACGTGCGTCCAGTGGACAAAGCTGGCTACAGAAGCCAAGGACGAGGTGTTTGTCCTCCTTCAGGTAAACGGAGCCACACTTCAATGCATTCACAAAATACAGTTGCTAACTTTTTTGCGGGCATTTTGGAAGGTACGAGGGAAAGGCAGGGAAAGTGAAGCACTTCCAAAATAGCTAGGGTAAACCTGGATCACACAAGGAAACAATCACTGGCCCTCTTCTCTTCTTTCAGGCCAAATAGGATGAAAGGCAAAAAATAACCTACCACACCATTTCTGTTATTTTTACTAGGCAGGTTGTTTCCACCCTTTGGGTAGCTGTGGTCGCCAAATCGTTCTCCGTCAGTGATGTTTTGCCAGGGGGAATTTTATGAGGGCAGAAACAGCCCAGGCACGTTGGCTTCTCCACAATCAAAGTGTTTGAAATGCAGGATCTTCTGTGCAGCTCTTGCAGATCTCATGGGAGAAGAACTGGTCTTTTTGTTAATTATGCACTGCACGGATTCCTGTAACCAAGGCAGGTCTAAACTCCTGCCGCAGGACCCGCTCGTTTGGGGAAAAGGCCGAGCCAGCAAGCTTTGCGGAAGCTGGTTATACGGAGCGAGTGCATTTAACGGGCACTAAAATTATCCAAGTATTTTGATCTTCTTCAGAGTGAAGCAATGAGTTAAGCATATCTGATGACACTATTTGAGGAACATTAATTTGGAGGGGACTCACAGAGCTCCCCCAGCCACAATGCGCCTGCTTTCCCTTCTGCAGCCCGTACCACCAGACCTTCCACTCCGGGCCCTCCTGCAAGGGACAGGCTATCGGAGCCAGAGCCACTAGTGAGTCCCTGTGGTGACAAGAGGCCCAGTGACACTGCCACGTGCACCCTGCGCCGGCTGCAACAGCCCTGCGCTGCTCCAGCTTGTGAGGGACGCGCCAACGCCGTATCGTGCTCTGCACTGCGAACACTCCACAACCTGTGCCCGTCTTCGCGAGCCTGTTCCTGCACCAGCAGCTGCAGTAGCTGGTGTTGGTCAGGGCGGCAAGGACGCGCGACACGAGCAAGCAGGGCCACCCCGCCGGGCTATGGGCGCTCGACCACGCGGCCCCCGCAACGGAGGCGCTGCTGCCTGCCCAGGACTGACCTCAAACCAAGGGCCAGAGAGGCAGGGAGGGGATGTTCGGCCTTTATCATCAAAACCAAAAGAAATACCTGCCCAAAGAGGCTCTTGAACAAACAAGGGAGTAGCAATGTGTGGGCTATATTGACAATAAATGGAAAAAAAAAACCAAACAAACAAAAAAACCAAGTAGTTCTCAAATATGTGCATGAGTTGAAAATAATCATAAAGTTGTCTAACAAAGTAGCTGCTAGTAAAGCATTTTTTTGAGAATGGCAACCCCAACTAGAAATGGTATGGCCTATTAAATGCATATTTACATCAACCAAAAATACATGTACTAAGAAAGTCACTGGTAGAAACAGAGGCAGGAAAACATGAAGCAAGCCCTGGAACCCACACCTACTAAAAACAGTGTACAGAGAAGTTCTCTGAGAACGACGTAGGACACAGGACAGTTTCAAAAAGCGTGGGACTTACTCCTGAGGGCTGCTGGTAGTGCCCCAGCTGCTGCAGGCTGTGGGGCAGGGCCGGGCTCTCGCTCAGGGGCGGACTGTAAACCCGTTGAATAGCAGGAGGTATCGCATCGGGCAGAGAGGAGTAGATGACACTTTGCTGGCTGCTTTGGGAGTCTGAATAAACAGTGGACCCCTGACCGCTGTCGAATGTGCTGTCAGCTGAAAGAACAATATTTTTTATTAACAGGTCACCCACTCAAAACGTTTAAGCGATGATTTAGCACCAAGGTCAACACTGGTTTATGTAGTTGGCATTTTACCATCATTCCTATTATATAAATAAATTATACAACACAAATGCTGTTTTCTACAAAAGGCACATACAGCTCTTTCTAAGCCAAAACCCAAGAGTAGTCCCTAAGGGTTTATATGCACAATGATATTTTAAGAACATTAATAATTATTTTAAAGGACATAAGGTTGACATTGAGAATTGCAGAGATGTTACCGATTCTGCAGGATGAAAGGATAGGAAATCCCACTTGTAATGACCAGAGTAGAGCAAGGCATCTTCTAGAGTTAGTTCGTCTGTTGATGCATTCATTTTAACATCTACTTGACTAGTGGCACTGAAAATTTCTACTTAAAATTACAAAATTCCTTATATGCTTTGCTAGTTCATCACATTCCAATCGTCTTGAGTATACAGCATTATGTTAGCCGAAGAATAATTGACAAAGTAGTTTAACTGGGCTAGGCAGAAACATACAGGGAAGAAACAGAAACGCATTATGGATTTCTTGATGGATTTAAGTTCATTGATGAGCCATACAAGCTAAGAGAGCCCTAAACACATCTGCAAACGCAAGTCCTGCATTGGAAAGCTGCAGGCTTGAGACAGGACCCACTGCAAGCAGACTAAACAGCCGTGCAAAAACAGGTCCTATAGAAACTACAGCTAAAATAAACCCTTATTTTGTTATTTGTAAGCTGGAAGTTTGAAGTTACCTGTGCTCAACAAGATAAAAGAATGAAATAAAACTGCCTTACATAAGCTGCTACCTCAGCGCAGGGCGTTAGAGCCTTGGGAGAGCAGCCGAGAGCTCTGTCAGCAGTTCTCACGCCGAGCGCCTGGCCAGCTCATCCACACAACCGCACAGCTACGGGCGCTGCGCAAGCATGCCACTTCTTGTTGAATGGAAGTAAATATTGTCTCATTGAATATTATAGGTTTTAGAAAGGCTTTTCAAGGCTTTTAAAGCCTGTGAATTATAGGCACACAGTTCTTGTGCATTAGCCATTGCTTTTGGAGAGTTTTTTGAGCTTGTAGGAGAGAATTAAAATTCAGGACCCAAAGACAATTGCAATGCAGTTAGTTACAAAAAAAATGGCTCAAAATAGAGATGTATTTAAACTATATTTCTTCTTCTGACTTTCTATCTTCTCTATTTTTGTCATCTCCCAAATAAGGCTTTATGCATTTGGGTTTAAAATAACAAATATTTTTGTAATAGCAGAAATGAACTTTCAGAGTATTCATAAACTCATCTCCCAATTATGCTTTGCAAAATCAAACTCACTTCTGTATTTATTTGATTCATTTACATAAAGAGCCAACATGGCCTTTAAGAAGGTACATATTTCTGTGGCATATACGCTTTCATTTTATTATGAACAACTACTCAAAATCTCAAAGCAAGAAAGAGCATGAGTTAATAGCACTACAGCAGCAGCTGTGAGTCAACCTTAGATTTTCATAGAACCTCAAGCATTACACAGGTTATAAACTATTAGTTTATATTTCTTCATGTGACCTCAGCATATTATATGCATTGGTAGAGAAGCGATTTATAGAGTTCTTAGGCTCAACAGCTATAAGCAAATGTTGAAAGACATGACAGTGAATTGCCAAACAATGGCAAGGATTTCTTACAAGCTGAGGAGTAGGAAGGAAACTGGGGGTTGTATATTTAGGAGAATATAAAATTCTGCCAACTCATTAGCAACAGAATCATGGGAAGCAAACGCCGTCTCACTGTATCGCTGGAAGCAAAAAATCATAATCACAGGGTTTCTCAAAGGAATTAGATGGTATGAATTAAGTAGATGTTCTAAAAAAAATGAGATCAATTTAGCTGCAGAAAAAAAAGCTTTGTAAATGCTATAATATTCTGAAAGTTATGCAAATATAGCCATTTATTACATTTTCCAAAGGTCTGCTTTCTTGCAGAGGCATGCTTGAATTTTAGCATTCAAAGTGGCACTCTGCATGGCAATTTAGACAATACCTGCTTTCAGTCTTTAACTGTCCCTTTGCTAAAGGCAATTGCCTACTTAATTTAAATATGCTTAAATGAAAGTCCAGAGGAGAAAATGGAAACATCATACTTTAGAAGAAACTCGTGTTAGAAAAAAAAAATCTAGAGAAGAGCTCTCAGTAAATTTTGAATCTTCCAAAATAAGAAATATCTGGCAGCATTTCCTTGAAGATGTTCAAATTTTACCACACATCAACCCAGGTATAGATTAAAATTTCATTAACATAGTGGAGCTTGACTTGCTAACAAAGGTTGATTGAGGAAATAGAGATGGAGTGCAGTTATTTTAGAAAAATAAAAAGCACTACTACTTCCTGCTCTCCCTTTTTTTGAAGGCCCTGATTCTTGGAACTAAAACCAAGAGGAAGGGGCACAGCACCAGCACCGGCCCTTGGGGACCCCCAAATATAAGTAAAGACCCACAAGGTCTGATGTTCCCAACACATGTGGCCAAAACACAACTGTTATTTCCAGGAAACAGAGAAATCTTGAGGTACATTATGCAACATTCAGAGATTGCTCTCTTCTGCCTTTGATCTTTGCATAACTACACAGAAACAAGCTGGTAAGGGTAACTCTCAAAAATGCAAGAAACTCCAGCACCTTGGTTTAAGCAAGGGCTGCCTTGGCTACACATCTTCACATTGCCAACACCTTTTCAAAGGGTGAATGACAACAAAAATCTGCTGCAGTGATCAGTTCGGTGCTGGTTCTGCAAGTGCTGAAATTATGTCTTACGAAGAAGCTTAGTGGTGATTCCACTGCCTGGCATATAGGAGTGAAATGCAACTAGTGCCTTTTTAAGCATTTATTTTTGTGGTCAGAAATAGGTCTTCATGCTATTCTATTTCTAAATATACTATTATATATGTTGGATTTCTGTATTTACTCATTTTTTACTTCAGTATTATTACTATTTTGAAAGAAGGATCTTTCCATATATATGTACATATAAAAAAATATATATAATGTTTTCTTGACACTACTTCTCCACAAATTATGCCATGTCTTTCAGAGACATTGAGTTACGATGCACAAACATGAACAGTCTCCCTGCTGAGCCCAGACAATGTTTGATTTCAAGCACTCACCACCGCGCACTAAGCAAACTCGACACTCACATGCAACAGACGTGACGCTGGTGGGCAGGTTTTGCTGGAAAGGGTGCTGATCCGCCTCGGGCTCCTCCGACTCCGACAGGATGTGGTGACCGGTGTGGGAGAGGTACGTGACCTGAACCTGCTGTGTCTGCGGCGCCTTGGATTTCTCCAAACATTCGGAATCTCGACGTTCCTCTGACTGTATCCTAGGCCAAATTCTCTCTCTTCTCCATAGTATTAATGCTACTCTGTCACGTATTGACTTGGCAACTATCTTGAGATCATTTTCATGAAAAAATCCAGAGTCAATCTACAGAGGAGGCACAAACTTAGCAAGATCACGAGTGCAGGGATATGCATGCATGTGTGCATACACACGTATCAGCTGAATCACACCGCACTCAAACCTCTGCCTAACAGATAAAACATCAGTTCGATACAACATGAATTATATGTTTGCTCCTTACAAGGATAGGAATTCAAGACAGGGCTTGATGGACTTTTTTTAGGGGAAAAAAAAATCCGTCACTAAACAAGTGACAGTAACAAATAACAATAGTAATTTCTAAGACCTGAATATATAAATTGCTCAATATATGGACCAGTTCATATGCAATGGGAAGAGAATAAGTTAAATTAAAGGGAGGGAGGTCTCCTTTTTTTCTTCACAAAGACTAACAAGGTAATGACTTTTGATGACTATCTTCGTGCAATACGGCAGGAGCGAATCACACTACCCTTAGCCAGACTCTACTGCCTTACCCTTTACAGTACCCACAGCATCCCAAATTGAGCTGCTTGACATCACAAGTAAAACAGGAAGGAAAATATGAACTCATTTAGCACCTGGCGAGACACAGGTCAGAATTTTGTCTGGCAGTGACTAACGCGCAAGGAGCCGCTTCTCCGCAGAGCGGGGATCCTGCAAACCTGTCATCTTAGCAAGTTTTTAAACATTCTCATTCCCACATCTCTATTTAGAGAACGGTAAATGTTTAATGAGGACATGCTAGCTCACAGCACCACTGGTTGTGAAACGCCTTCAGGTTGCTACCCCACCAGAACATTTCAGTCCTTTTCTTTCTGATAACATGCGCCGTTTGAGCAAGCTTGAATGCCTCATTAGCAAAAACCTATCAATAGTGAGAAATAGTTCCCTCTGCTCAAAAAATGTCCTGCACCATTCCCTCCTGCAGCTTCTAATGTGACACATTTATAAAGCATGTGGTTTTGGCTTCAGAATTCATAATGTCTAGAAAATGTCATTTAGGCATAAATGTTCCCTTCTCTACCCTTAAAGGCTTCAGATTTGAAAGGATTTCATATCAGTCACTTAGATAACTGTTAATGTAATGGGAAAACACAAGTTTCAAAATAATACGGTAAGATGAAGGTATGATAGTACTTTGGGTGCAGTCCTTTTGTGTATATGAGAATTATTTCCCATTAAAAACAAAATATCATAAGAACAGGCCAAGAAAAACTGCAGAACATCAGGAATGCAAACACAGTCATAAACACTGAACTATAAATGTAAAGTATAACAGGAGGTTCTGCAACAATACACTGCTGAAAAAAATACTGGCTCTAAAGCAAATCAGTAACTAAAAGACAGAGAAGCCTGAATTTCTCCCATTAAAAAAAAAAAGTAGCTTGATCAAAACATCCATTTCCAAAGCAGAACAGGGGTGGTGAATACAAGACCAATAAATAGGACCTTTTGAGATGCAGGATACAATCATAGGGGCATTTCTGCAATTACTTTTCAACTTTTGAGAAACAACTTTTTCAATTATTAGTTCATCTATTTACTGCTTTCTTCTCACACCCATGCAAACACCAATACAACCTGCTTTAACTAGATACGTGGAATCTTTCAAATGGAAAAGTACTTCACCAGGCCTGCTCCTGCTGTCCTTTGAGATCTAGGTACTAATTTATATATACATACATATGTGTGGTTGGGGTTTTTTTGCCAGGAGAAGGTATTTTACCATTTCTTGTGCAACATCATCAGGAGTTTCCTTCTCCAGATCAAAAGTAAACTCAATGGCTCCATTATCTTTGGGTTTTCCTTTCAGTTTCTTAGGATCTTCTACCCAGAGTCTTAAGGCAATAGAGGATTTCCTACCATGGTCTTCTTCTGCAAGTTCCACTCTTACCCCAGTATCTTCAGCAAAAAAGGCATGGCTTAATAAATCTTTAATTTCATATCTGCAATAGATATGCAGAATATTTAAACACCACAAGGCTCAAGCATTTTCAAATAAGTTTGTAACAAGAAATTGTCATAAAGAAAAAAAAAATAAATGCAGCACATCTGGTGTTCATCTACAAAACTTCAGCAATATTCCTACATCATTAGCATGTACAGAAACAAAGATTAATGCTTTGTTCAACTTATCTCAAGTATCTGATCTTAAGGAGTACTAAAAATATGATTCCCTTCAAGGTAGCCTGTTGAGGACCCCAAGAAGATTATTTGTGAAAGTTGCGTAAGAATATTAAGTTTTAAAGCCAACAATAGAAACAAGGCATAATTTCTCTCAAAATATATATGCTAATTATCAATGCAATATGCCATGAAGGCATGCAGTGAATCCTCTGCCCTGTGAAACATCTACGTGAGATGAACATCTCACCAATGGCCAGTTGCACCACAAGCTGTGCTCTAAAAGCAGGACCTCTCGAGTGAGATGTTACAGACTGGTACCCTGCAGTGCGCTCTCAGGTCCACACTGATGCCTTCCGACCTTACTCTTTGGAGTTGAGACACAGACAATTGTGTTTGTTCTACTGTCTTGATATTTTACATCAAGAAAGTAAGCAATCATTTACATCCATACTTTTAGATGATGGATGAAGTTAATACACTTCACCTATTCTGCAGGTAAAGTTTATTTTCTCCCAAACAGGGAAGATCCAGACGCAAGAATGGAAACCCACAGTTTCAAAATCTCTGTATAAAGATTATTTCACAGAAAACAAGATTGCTTGAAACAAACCTTTCTTCTTTATTTTTGCAAATGCATTCTCCAATTATCTCCTTAATTTCAGGATCAGTAACTTTCTCAAAGCTTGCTGGCTTTATACCCTAGAAGAGTAGAGAAAAATAACTTAGTTTGAAAGCAAATCATATTATGTTTCTTAAAGATTATTCTACTACATTTTACAGAAAATTAAACCCTTGGAACAAACAATACTTTGAAGTTGATAGTCAACTTAAAGCTGAATTGAGGGTTTAAGGTGATTACATTTCTAAGTATCTTTCTACTTAGAAATAAGCGCATTAGTTGGTAGATTCAACTCAGCAATACACCACGCAAACCTGCCTCCTCTTCGGTGCCAGTGTCAAGCCTTACCTTCATACCCTGCGGACTCTGATGGCAGTATTCAAGAAGTAGACACACTTACATTCTCAAAATGATAAATTTTTTGGAAAGCATTGCTTTTTATGTTTCTTGCACTAATTCTCAAAATGTTAAATGAATAAAGAAAATCCACATGTATTCCTCAAACAGCCAGCTTCAGGAAAGAGTCAAAAATACTTTGGAAGACCAGACCAATGCAATATTCTACACTACTGTTCTCCACAGCTATTTTGCTTTCCTATGTTCCCCAGCACTGCTCCCTCAAAAAACATAGAACTTCTAGTTTTTTTTATTAAAATTCTGTTGCCACTTTGGCATTACATTTAGACTTTACACTTGACTCCTTCCTTGCTTCATCTCAGACTAACCACTTCACTTTTGCCTTCAAACTCAAAAGAGTAAAATATGTGAATTAATAAATTTGGGGGGAGGGAGGGGAAAAAAATCCCAGAACAGTCACACAGAGAGTCAGTTTCTTGGTTCTGTCTAGGCAGAAAGTTGCCAAGATCAAAGAAAAATATTGTACGGGGAACCAAACAGAATCCATAGGTACATGCAACGAGCTGACTGTGGCTGAAGACTTGATTAAGCAAACCTAAATCTTGATTATGAGATAAGGGGTTTTTTTTTAATATATATTAGAAAAATGTGTTAAAGTGATAGGTATTATCTGGTCTATCAACACTCATACTAATTAAAAACAAACAAACAAAAAAACCCCACACAAATCTTTTTAAGACTCTTAAATAAGCTCTGATAACTTACCTTTAGAAGTCAATATGAAATGGCTAAAAGAAACCCATCAACCTTGAGCAGTTTCTCTTCCCTCATACTCCAAACCAACTGGCTGCCCAAAAGCTGCTCTGTCCCCGCTGCCGTGACGGGAGCTGCATCCTGCCTGCAAGCCAACTGCCTGCAGCTGCTGCCTCCCTTCAAAAGGGCCACCAAATCCCACCAGAGGACCATCGGGGAAACGAGACTGCTCATTGTGAAAACAAAGCTCTGCTCACCAGAACTGCGCACGCTGCCTCAGTGCCTGGCTTGGGCATCAAAAGTGGTAACTTACACCAAATATTTGGGTCTTCAGATAGCCTCCTGCAGGTTTAGCTACACAGTCTATCTTGTTCCCAGCAGTCTAAAGAAATCTTTGTTAATTCACAATGTAAAGCAGTAAGACAAATCTCTATACATCTTGCAGGCACTCTCGTTTGCTATAGGAAACCATGAATTTCCAACTTAATGACACCTATTAGGAAGAATACACCAAATATTTGGGTCTTCAGATAGACTGTGTAGGTAAACCTGCAGGAGGCTATCTTGTTCTCAGCAATCTAAAGAAATCTTTGTTAATTCACAATGTAAAGCAGTAAGACAAATCTCTGTACATTCTGCAGGCACTCTAGCTTCCTATGGGAAACCATGAATTTCCAACTTAATGACACCTATTAGGAAGAATGAGTAATAAAGACCAAAAGCTGCTCTAGCTCAATGTTTACAGAAAAGTATCACAAAAATGTGCGTAAGTTTCAATAACAACTGCAAAAAAAGAATACATTTAACACAGCAGTAAAGGCTACTCTCACCATATTTCTCAGAGCTCTCTACTACCAGACGATATTTCCTAAGGTGAATGTATTGTTTGCATACGTAGCACCCAAAGTGCCAGATGGTTTTTATATATGCCAGTTGTTTCATGGGTATTTTGACACAAGCTAAATATATGAGAGGCACAAATAGTATATGTAGAATATATCACAGTATCTCTCAATTTAATTTTCTTTTCCAGAATTCACATGGATTCATCATTTAGATGTCTTGCGCAATTGGAATGGAGCAGGTCAGGACACGCTGAGCATCTAGAAAGCAGCTTTGAAAGGCTGAAACCTTGCTTTGAAAGGTTTCATTTGACACGTCCCTGATGGCTGCCCCTGATTTTTAACCTTATATATTGCTGCCATAATAGTGACTCCTACGAATGCCATGGCCGTTTCCACATCCTTTGAAGGAGCACTGATTCTCCTCAAAACATCTATTGTAATAAGGGCAATCCAAGCACCTAAATGATGAATACATGACTGGAATAAACAAGGACAGAACATGCACAGCACAGTACTAGACGGAGCTCTTTTCCAAAGCATTTCCCTCAGGGTGCAGATGCTACAACGTGCTTTGGCTCCTTCGTTCTCATTAGCATCTCCAAGGCTGCTCGTTGTCCTGCCGCATCCCCTCCCAGCGCGCAGTGCGCGGTGCTTCCAAGCCTGCCTCCTGTCAACGGCAGGGACTTCTCCAAAACACAGGTTTCTAGCCGAAATCAAAGGCTCCATCTCATTCATTCACACAAAAGCCATCTGTCTTTCTGAGCATTCCCAAGGAAACGCTGGAGTGCATGGGCTGCAGCATCCTTTTCATGCACAGCAGCTCACTGCACAGGCAGCTCCAATGGAACCGAGCACAACGACCCACGAAGGAGCGTAGGGAGCCCCACAGGCTGCACATGGGTATTCTCACACCTATTCTTTAAATGCTAGACCCTAAGCCTAGCAGCAAAACAAGAGAGAAAACAGCAAACAATCTTCAAAAATCTTTCTCCCCCAATAAGCATTATTTACTTGGAATCCCCCGCATCAGAACTATTCGTGAATAAAATGAGAAGCAACCAAATAGTCTCCACAGCTTCTTTTCAAAGTGCTTAGATTTGAAAGGTGAGTCCAGTCCAGCACAAGATGGCTGAGTCTACAGTGAGGCACCTATAGGACATCAAAGCTTCACCTCCACAAACTCATAAAGTTTGTTTTCAGAGCTCTAACATGAGCTGCTTGTGATTTTAATGCAGGCAGAGCACCCTGCAAACTCTAACACACGAGGCCTGCGTGGAACCCACCGGCTCCTTCCACGTGGACCCTCCTCCAAACGGGTAGTGCCTACAAAGGGCGGCTGGACTCTTCTTCCAAAAGAGCTGAAACCAGTTTCAGTTTCCAAGACTGAAATTCCACCACACTAAAAAGTTTCTGAAGTCAACAGAGTCAAGCTAAAGTTCTCCATTCTGCCAGTACTATATTCTATATATGCTATTCTATAGCATTTAGCAGCAAGACCATGATATGCAATTGCAATTTCATCACTTTCTCTGCAAAATGGTGCCAATCTATGCAGATTATCTGCAGATCTGCAAAAGTATCTGAAATACATGGAAAATCAGTGTTATGCCTACTGCTACAATGCCACAGCTGTGGACTTTATTCAATTTGTATAAAGAAATGTCTATGTTATCTAGACCAAAATATCTATTTTACTAGGTATTTTATCTGCGGTAAAATACTCTTTTTACCATAGAGAATCGATTCAGCACATTCACAAAACTAATATACAAAATGGAACACAATAAATGCGATAGTTGTTTTAAAACTATACATTTATTTTGCTAAACCCACTGAGGTTTGTGCATTCACTGAATCCACAGTGTATAGAGTTGGTCTGCTATGAATTCTCCAGCACCTCAGTAAGAAAACATTGGACTGGAGCTGCATGGGAAGGTCACAGACTCTGATGTTTCATCACTAAATACGCCTATTGTCTACATCAAAATTATTTGGCAGAATGATTAAACACAAAAAAAAAGATCTGACTAAGAAAAACCACCAAGTAACGCATGAAAAATGAGATTATAGCGTCGGAATGAAGATCACTGTAAATATGCTGATCAGGAAATCACTTTAAAGCTAACTTCAATAAATGTGGCTTTGACCTGTTGCTTGAAAAAAATATTTTCTATTTTTCTATTGTATATTTTAATCATGCCTGACTAAAATCCAAGAGCCTACTGGTTTTATCATCTTTCACCCTTCATTTAAATTGCAGCCCATGCAATAGGCCCCAGCAAAGAACTTAAAAGCATCACTTTCTTTCTCATTACAGACTCAATCACATCCACGTTTCAGTTCCTTCAACTGCTCTGTAGACTATGACAAAAAGCACAAAGTCATTAGGAGGGGCCAAGAAGAGGGCGATAAATGAAAGTCTCCAGAAAGCTCCGTTCAGATGCTAGGGCTGAAAGGGCAGAGAGAAAGCGTGCAAGTCCTAACAAGCATGTCTAATCTGCCAGAGAAACGAGCCTGTTGGAGCATTTGGGAAACAGCTCAGGAAGCAACGATGATTGCCTTATTAGCTCGGACTATTACGTGCAGAGAGTTACATGTGCATAAAGGCAACACTGGGAGATTAAGGCAGCAATGACAGTCTGCCATGAGAACATGCTCTGACAGAATAAAAGGTCACAATGCAAGTGTAATAAACTATAAGTTTAATAAACTATAGACATACATAATGCAAAATATTTTAAAATAAAGTAATGATGTTTCAGATAAGTAATGCATCCATTCCACATAGCGGTATCTGTCACCAGTGCATGGGACTTTAAAAGACAAGACTTCAGATGCATCTTATGTCTTATTAGCAGATGAGCTTGGCAGGGTGTCAGGACAAGGGGTAAAAAGGTTTGAAAAATATCACACTGGCAGCATTAAATAATCTGCTGTGACTGCATGGGATGAGCGCCCCAGGGAAACCCAAAGTTGGGTTAGAGTCAGCCTGAAGATTAAGGCAGCTACTGACCTTCACAAGCAAGCAGCTACTTTCTGGATTCAAGCAGGAGCAAGCAATGCCAACCTCTCAGGTGCTGCTAGCAGCTCCGGTGGTTGCTGCCATGGTAATGGGCCAAGGGCAGGATTGTATTTTATATTTAAAAAATATAAGGTATTTTCTATAAGTGTAATATTTATTATTTATATTATTTAAAGGTATTTTATATTTAAAAAATAAAAGCATAGGGCAACTAGACACAGGGCTAAGACTTTTAAGTTGCATTCACCCTCATTTTAAAATATTAGCAATAAATAGTACTTACATTCCTAGTGCAATGTTTTTTTCTTCAAAAAAGTTCCATGAAAAATTAAGTACATTTCTTTCTCACCAAGAAGCTGATACACAGTACAGCACCACTGATCCCATTGATCTGTGGTTTTTGCTTTAGTGAGGCCCCCAAACCTCACCTATCTCTGGGAATAAAACTTGGTACCATTCAGCCTCCTAGCTTACGCCTGGGCTTTATTTCTGTGCTGAATTTTGGCCCAGTGCATCAAGCCCCGCATACTCACGCGGAGCCCAGCGGCGTCCCCGGCCGTCGCCAGCTCGTCGGCGGACACGGCTTCTCCAGGGAAGCCCAGGGAGATTCGCCCGGGGAGCAAGGACCTTCTCCAGGCTGCCAGCTCCGCGGGCACCCTGGCCAGCGAGGGCCACCCCCTGCTCCTCCTCCGGCTCTGGCAGCTCCTGACGGCCA